GGGGCTGGAAAAGGCTCAACAGGATGATAAAGATAAATATTATGATTTTTCTAAATGGAGAGGAAAGGATAGCTGAAGTACATTGGCTTTGCAGATTATGCTGGTCCCACTAGGGACAAATATCTTCAGTCACCACAGGGAAAGATGTGACCATATGTCCCTCCTGCAGGGAAGGGAATGAAAAATCTGTCTCAGGCTTCCCCTTTCTCCGTGGGTGTATGTGTTAAAAATCTGCCATTCTACCATAATATAGTGCTTAGGCTCCAAGTATAAGAAGCCACATATAGAATGGTGAATTTTCTGCTCAGGTTTCTAATGAGGAGACCGAGTCAGAGGCTAAACATTGTCACAAAAGTTAAAATATAAGTAGGTAACGTTCTAAGGCAAGGTGTTAATAGTAGATATGGAGAATATAAAGGAAAGATTTATGGAGTATCTCAGAAATACTGAGTACACAGAGATCCATTGCAAGAGGGCATTATTTTTCAACTGAAAGTTATTATCAAGTATTATTACTGTTATAATTATTCACAAATGGAAGGAAACTGCATAGAGATAGTTCTAATTAAGTACTTCACCTTTTTAGGTTATATCTAATTTTTAATTTCATTTATTACAATTTTTTTTTAGTGTCTCATAGTTCCACAATTTATAATGCAGCAACCTTAAGTTATAAAATACATGCATCTCACTTAAACAGGCAATGTACACGCTTTCTCTCTATTTCAATATATATTAACAACAGGTTCAAAATAGCTGCTCCCTGTCATTATAAACAGCTATTAGATGGATAGGTTGGCATGCATTTACTTGTGAAATTTGTCTTCACCGAATTCCCTTTTTGCCATGGCACTGTGTTCTGGCACTGATGTTAGCATCTGGCATGTGAAAACTAGTTTTAACAGAACTGCATGGGGTAGCGTTAGTTCCAATTTTATGCACACATTCAGTCCAGAACATTGTCCTGTTCCCTGAATAAAGGTAAGGGCCAGGTTCTTGGCACTATGGTTACTTTTGCACCCCAGCATCACAAAGCAGCCTTAAAAACTAGTTAATTGGCACTTTGCTGATCTCCATTATTGAGGGACATTAAAAAATTATAGAGGAACCAGACTGGGTAATTGGAGGAAATACCAAAGATGTGTCTAACCCCTTGCAGTCCCTCCTGCCATAATCATTGTGAAGGCTACTGGCAGGTAATGCAATTTAAAGCCATCCTGAATTTTTTCTATTATGCATCAGAGACCAAACTCATCTGGGATTAGGAGTGCATTAAAAAGGCATACCTAGCTTTTCTAGATTTACTTAGGGAATTTAGAGTTTAACACTGTGGGTACATCCAGATGAGCGTACACATGCAATTTTCAGTGCCTCAGAAATGTTTGAGGTGCTGCAAACTGCATATGACACACATTCACCTATTTGCCGCACTGCTAATTTGTAGCATGGTGGCAAAATTTGATACCAGGAGATTCCGGTGTCAAAAAAAGCTGCCCCCACGCAAAAAAAATGGCATGGCGCACATGGCAGCAACAGAGCCTGGCTCTGCCAGAACTGCCAGAAACAGAGCCTGGCTGTTCAGAGCTGTACTCTGCCTGCTGACCATGCTCTGAGTGGCCAGATTGGCACTGGTGCCCAGGGAGGCCCCCAGAATCCCAGGTAAGGCTGCTAGGGCCAGCCCAGGTGCTAATCCCAGCCTCCCCTACCCAATCCAGCCAATTTGTTGCACTCTGGAGTACATATGCATGGGCATGCCTTGGGACAAAAAGCAGCAGCGCATGAATATGCGCTGCTGCTTTTTGTGCCATGGGAAACGTGCACCCCTGCACGTACACACTCCTCTGGACGTGCCCTATGTGTTCAAATAAGAAAAACTGGATAACATTGGTATTGATTAAATATCTGAATTGTTGAAATTCAGGAAATGTTGCACTTATAAGCCTAGACATTTCTAAAACCTCAAACTCAACAAAAATAGAGGATGTGGCAAGGAAATAAATGGCTCTCTCTCAAGGAACTGAAACTTATTGAGGTTGAGTACTAAACACACTAAAGGGTAGGCAACCAGTTAATCTGTATAAGTAAAAGTGGCAGAATCTGGCATATTATTTAATCATTTGTCAAGAAAGTATCATTAGTAAATCCAGAGATACCTAAATACCTTTCCTTTCTTCTCAATAAATCCATGGATCTTCCTTCTTATTGTTTTCTATTCTAATAAACAGATTCCTTCATTGTAAAGGCAGTTTGGAGATAACAGCTATGGGCCAATGATGTGAGCCTGTGTTTATCTAATGACAGGAAAGCACTGGGAGCTGACAGTGGTGATATGTAATCCTCTGACCTATTCTAAATTTCTTCCACCATCTCCTGTAGCATAGGGTAATACAGGGGCCATTTCTCTAGCAATAGCAAGTTCTGTGCCAGGTCTGCTGGGAACTGCATGAAGTAGATTCAGCCATATGGCAAGCTTCCAACTTTGTTTCACACTGGGTTGGGTGCAGAACCATACTACTCCATGAATAAATGGATAGGTGCCTTAAGGCAAAAAGTGAGGAGAGGAAAGGAAAGGGAAATACATGTAATTTTACTTAAGAGGGCAGTATGAAATTCAGGAACAAAACCAGCTACTGTCAACACAGTTTATTTGATAGTTTTAAGAAGCTAAATGGGCAAGGTTCTTTGCGTGAATCTGATATCTTTTATTAGACCAACTTAAATAGTTGGAAAATAATTATTAAGCAAGCTTTTGGGTTCAAAAACCCTTCATCAGGCTAAGGAAGTTTCAGCAGTTGGTGTGTGCTCTTCCTGGATGGAATGGAAAGTAAAGAAGCCAGAGGCTGGTCTGGTATGCATACAAGACAGGTAGTTGGTGAAAATGTAGATTGAGGAGTCAATGGATGAGAGACAGGCTGGGAGGGGAGGGGAGGGAAGAGAGAGAAAAGGGGGATGAATAGTGGAGAGATACCTAGAGAGTCAGATGTCAGGTAGGTTATAATGTGTCATAAATCCAATGTCTATATTTAGTCCATGATTTTTAGTATCCAGGAGGTTGATGAAGATGAGTTCATAGGCTCGTCTCTGGGAAGTGTTTTGTAAGTTTCCTTTGAGGATCAGGACTGAGAGATTGGAGAGAGACTGGTTTTCTTGTGAGAAATGTGCCCCCACAGGTAATTGGGTATTCTTGTCTTTGATAGATTTCCGGTGTGCATTCATTCTGGTGCACAGTTGTTGTTTGGTCTCACCTATGTATTTTCCATCAGGGCATTTGGTGCATCAGAGGCTAAACATGCATTTTCTTCTCTGGACACCTTAGAGAAACTTGACTAATAAAAAAAAGAAAAGAAAATCCCCAAAGGAGGGAACAACCAAAGTTCTTTCTCTCTAATGAGAAATCAATTAAATGTTTTTAAAAACTGTAATTGAACATAAATCAAAAGTTTTCCTTCATCTTTCACCTAGGTACTCAATAGATCGAAACACTGACCTGGAGAGATATTTCAATATCGATGCCAACAATGGAGTCATTACAACTGCCAAGTCTTTGGATAGAGAAACTAATGCTGTTCATAACATCACTGTCTTGGCTATGGAGAGTCGTAAGTTACAATTTAAAGTTGTATAAACAATAAGAGCATAAAGCATCAGATTTAAGTATAAGAACTGGTCATCTGCATTGACAATTAATTGACTGGCCTTCCTAGAGATTATTAAGTGAGGATTTGTTATAAATAAAGCATATATGTAACAGGACTAACTCTTTCTTTGGCTTGTGTCTTGTGTAGTTATGTAAGCTTATGAAAAGTCAGTATAAAAGGTGTGAAAAGCATTACATTTGGAAGGAGAGCCAAATTAAGGAGTTTAGTGTTGAAAAATGGTATGGGGCTATGGAGGGCATGACACAGCCTTGGGTGGTATCATGACACTATTGACAGATAGCAACTACTGGTTGTTTCTGGAAGTTTTAAAAAGTTAGGAGAGGGGAATATCTTCCTGGTTCACTCCCCTAACATTTGAGTACTGTTTTGTAGCATACTTAAATATTCACTTTTTACAGATACAGGTGACTGTGTAAGATACAAAACACTGAAGAATCAGGCTTCCTGAGTTCATGTACTGGTTAACTGTTTGAAAATGTCATTTAAATGTTGCAAAAGTAAAGCATTTTCTACAGCAGCTACATTTTTTGAGGGTGATACATTTCTGCTATTGCATTCTGAATATAGATGTGACAGTAAAGAATCTCCCAATTCAACTGTCACTCCTTATTGCTACTATGCTGATTTATGGCAATAATCTTTTCTCAGTTCTTTGATTTGCTATTTTAAGAAATTGTTGCATACTGGTTTCAGTGATATTCATTTTATGTTCAACCTGAAAGATAACATTTGTGACTTAATATCCCTATAAATTTATCTTTTACTCTCAGGGCCAGATTTTTGGCCCAGCAGGCAAAAAAAAACCAACCCCAAAACACACTACAATGAAACCAATGATTGCACCAGAGAGGGAAGGAAAAGGGACTATCTGACGCAAAAGTGCCTTGTAAAAGCCTCAAGATGTTTGAAATTATGGGCGGGGCCATGTTGGTCCCTGGCTCATCAAAGACTGGGACGATTGCTTACATTTACCTTATCACCTGTGAATGAAAAGTCTGCACCTTGGAATCTACTTTTATTTTACATTATAATTAATTAAAATTATTATTACTCTCACTTCTCAGAACCTGAAAACCTAGGTAACAACAGAAAGCAAAAATTCCCTTGAAAAACATACAGAAATATCCAGTTCTATGCCATTGTTTTATCTACTCAGCTTCATCACAAGTATCATTATAACTTGTAACATTCTGTAGCAAATAATGTAATCTCACTCATGCTTGAGCCAGCCTAAAAACTGATATTTATATCAAAATAGCTGTATTACATATTGTAGGCCTGTCTGCTTAGGCCACCAAATTTCAGCTATAAAGGATTTAATACTGATCTTGAACCCTAATCTCATTGCAGGCAAGTATTTTATCCCCTCGGCAGGTTTATGGTAACTCTGTAATGCCCCTTTCTCAGCAGATTAACAATTTCTCTCATTTAACACCTGTAAAAAGATCTAAACTGTACAAAACTGCTTCACCAGTGAATATGCTAAAGCGGGTGAGGATAGTCAGCATTGCAACAATCCAGGATTGCTACAGTTTGGGGATGTAATTCAGGTTTGAGAGGAATCGCATCATGTTTATATGAGAGGATCCTAATTTTTTTGGTATGTCTTAACTACAAGAGTATTACACCTTGCACATCTTTGCTCTAGTGGGTTCCACTGTACCTTTGAGATTCATTAGGTCAGTGATTCTTAACCACAGCACCCTGAGGGACTGCTTACCATACCCTGGGGTACTCTTTCTTTTAAAGGTGCCTCACGGTGCCTTGGCATTGTTTTGTATGCAAACATATATACATACTTCACATGATAAACCCAGAGATTTCAAATAGGAATTCATAGTGCTGAACACAGTCTCACCTGCTGTAATTTTTCTGAGTTCTTTGCAACAGAAAAATTGCTCTATTATTTTTCAGTAGTCCAAAAATGAAGGAAAACTAAGAGCTGACATTTTTAGGGGTCTCTTGAGTATGACGAGGAGTGCCTTGAGTCTACAAGAGGTTGCAAACCACTGAATTAGGTAGACAGATGCTTTATTCTTGGGGTCTGTCATGGTTCCCTAGGAGTCTGAACAGCATCATTTCCTGAGGAGAATTAATTGAATAAACTTATATTTTACCCATTCTTACCATAATCTATCCTAGGTGAATAGTCTTTCACTGTTCTGATGTGAATCCATGGGCAGCAGCATTATATCACTCATTCTCATCCCTTCAGCTATGTTTTGCTGCTATGGTACTACAACTTTGGCCTAAATAAAGCAAATCTGTCAGTGAATTTATAGCAGAATTCTCATTGTTTTGATCAGGGTCAGAAATTTAGCCTGGATTTATTTCTCATTGTGTTTCTACTGTAATTGGTTTTGATTACTATGTGCAAAGGGAAAATGCAAATAACAAAGCGCATTGACCAAAAAAAATGACCTGTAATGAACTCTGCTTGTTTGTTTTTCTGAACAGAGAATCCAGCACAGATTGGAAGAGGTTATGTGGCTATCACTATCCTTGACATTAATGACAATGCTCCTGAGTTTGCCATGGAGTATGAGACCACTGTCTGTGAAAACGCTCAACCTGGCCAGGTGCTGATTGGTATTTCTAGCATTTATTCATATCAGCTTTGCAGTAATTTCTTTTAAAAGCTTGACAACTTTAAGATAGAATATAATCATCTCATTGCAGAAAAAAGTGATACTATGATGTGCAGAAACAAATATTCAACAAAAAAACTAAGATCTCCAGCATACTCGTTGCAAAAAGTGGAAGTACAAATTAGAGATGAAAAGTAACATAAAATTACTAATGGCTATAGGTTTCTTTACATAGGCAAATTAAACATTATGTCATGAATGCCTGGATTTGGTACAAGTGATAGGCAAGCATAATTATCAGTTATTTCACTGGGATTAGAATATTCCATACTTCCTGGAATTAAAAATCCTTTATTATCCCTAAAACTAATAACTGGCTGCTGTGTCTTCAGTTGGGTTAAGAAAAAAATGGGTTTGGATCACTTTATCTCATGTAAATTATTCCTGTAAAAGAAATGATGTGGCTTTGCCCTCACAAGGCCTACTTTTTGGAGGTCCTGACTACCTTTGTTTCTATTGACTTCAGCATTTTTCTTCAGTGGGCACGTCTACATAAGACACTACGTCACCTTAGTAATGAGCTACGGTGATGTAGCTTGTCAGTACAGCGATGTAGCATCCATAGGCACAAACTGTAACACCAATGCTACATCACTGTGGTGATGCACTACATCACTGTAGCTCATCGTTACGGTGACATAGAATTTAAAAATAACCATGCACCGCTGGGACTGTGTATTACTGCTGGGTACTGTACCAAATGTGAGTCAGGGGCACATGTAGATGCACCTAGTTTCTCTGAAAATGTGTCATACAAAATTATCTTCCTGTTACTTCATAAAAGAACATAAAGCATCCCTTAACTCCTTGCACTTTCCCACCAGGGAACTGCTGGAGTTTTCACCCATGACATTCACAGATCTGATGCATTCCCATGGCACTACTAGACTCCTACCTGGACTGTTTCCACCTCAGTGCTTGCTCCCAAGTCTCACCCTTTTCTCTCTTCTATGGCAGAAATTACTGATCTACTTCTTCAAACAGCAGGGTTTAAAACAGCAACAGATAGCGTGATGAACATGATTAACAGCTTGTGCTGAAAGGCAACTAAGAAACTGAATAACAGGGCCATTGAACACAATCAGAATAGAGTTGGATTGGATAAAATGCTTAATGTTGTCCCTGCTTTAACCATTGTCGTTGGTCTTTAGATACATATAGCCATTACACTTACAAATTATAAATAAGAAATCAATTAGCTTATTCTATTTGGTATAGTTTAGAATAATATTTCAGAATTTTTTTTCAGAAACAAAAATATTTTTAAAGTTTTAAAAAATGATATTAATATCAGATTAATATGCAGTGGGCATATCTACACATTCATTAATGCACTTTAGGTAATGCACACTTAAGCTAGTACTTATGGGTGCCTATACATGTGTAGCAAGGCTGCTCTGATGCTCTGGAATTCCATGTGATTAATGAAGTATGCTAGAGTGTTGTAATTACTGCACTCCAGAAGCTTCCTGTGTTTCATGTACCAGCCCCCGCCACCATTTTTAAATGCCCCCACTGCCATTTTTAAATGCCCCCCCACCATTTTTTTATGTTAGGATGCTGATATATGAGACATGATAGCACTTTAATTAGAGCAGTTCTTACAGCCACCCTAAAGCGCCATCCCTTCCCACCCCCAAGACAAAGCACATATCATTGTGAAGTACCATTTTTCCAGTACAATTGTGAGGTACTAGAAAAATCCCAATTAGCTTAATTTAATGTGCATTAGCTAAACAATATTTTTTTGTGACAAACAAAGCTCTTGGTTAGAGGCATTATCTTTTATTAAACCAATCAAATAAGTGGCAAACCATTTTTTGTTCTTTGCAAGGTTTCAGGTCCAAACACCCTTTGTCAGGCTGAGGACAATTCAAAGATGGTAATAGTTTTCCCAGGTAGAAAAGAAACTTTATTTTGCACAGGGGAGATATAGGGTAGAAGTTTTTTTATCCAGGGTTCTTCAGAGTCTTTTTTTGAGACTGTTGCTCTGTAATATGCAGATTATGCAGGCTCTTCCCTGGAGGTTTCTGATGTCAGGCAGGGAGGGGAAAATTTATTCTTTTTTGGTTAGCAGTGAAGTTTACATTTCCAAATGGCTAAATACAATATCTTCCATGTTTCGGGGATATATATTGTAGCCATGTTGGTCTAAAAATAGAGACAAACAAAGCTCTTGGGTTAGAGGTGATATCTTTTATTAGACTAACTAAACAATAGCAAAAAAAATGTCTTTCTTTGCAAGCTTTCAGATCCAAACACCCTTAAACTACATGTGTAGATGCACCCAGTTCTGCATTGAATCTAAGTGAACTAAAAAGTGTTCTTTGTGTTTGCATTTGCAGTTTGTAGATGAAGTGTGACATCAGTTGCACCCACAAATAACTAGTGTATCTGCACATGCTATTAAGGTGACAGAATAAACTCCAGCACAGTTTGCACTGGAGTCAGCTGCTCCTGGGCACAGTGTCTACATGTGTGCCCAACACCACAGCAGTTTGAGCCAGGGTAGAGTAGCCCCAGGCTGGCAGGGATCCGGGGGGTCAGCCCCAAGCTCTGTGTGGTAGTGTCAGGCAGTGGCGGGGATGGCGGGGGTACGAGGATGCTAAAGTGTGGGGCTAGGCAGCAAGCCGTCATCCCTTCCCCCCAGCCCCTGTACTTTAGCACCCTTGTGCCCCAGCATCCCCCTGTCACTGTCAATAGATGCATTTCAGTGCATGTAATTACTCTGTGGTAGTACTTCCCTGACAGTACTATACAGTGGTGGAATTAATTAATTTTCTGCTCATAATATCAGCACATGTGTAGACTGTTATGCTTTACTGCAGAACTAATTAATCAACTCTGCAGTAAAGTGCAAATTTAGATATACCCAGTGAGTACCACACTACACCAACAGTTATTTTCATCCACAAGATATTCTCTTTCCAATAATGTTTTGCTTGTATTCCTAGTCTTGATGCATAGTGAAATACCAGATCTCAAATCTGTCATTGGTTCTCTTGTTAAGAATTGAAAATTTGACATAGAGAAATGACTTGAACGAGTGCATTTTGGCATTGGGGAAGATATGAGGATATTGCATGTTTTTAATGATCTCTGAAGTTACTTAAATTTTCAAATAGGAAAACAAGAGTGAGGAGCATGTGAGTGAAGTGATCAAAACCACCTGACAAATGCATTTTATCACATGACCTTACACGTACTGTATACAGACTATGTAATTAAATATACTTGTATGATTCATATTATCAAATATAAATCTACATATAATTTTAAATTTACATTGTTTTCAGGTTATCCAGAAAATCAGTGCTATTGATAAAGATGACCCACCCAACGGCCACCAGTTCTACTTCAGTTTGACAGCAGAGGCAGCAAATAACCATAATTTTACACTGCAAGATAACAAAGGTAGGAATACAGATGTAGTAGGGAAGCCTAAGAGATAACATTCACTGTCTGGCACCTTATTTTTTGAGATGGGTAATCCTGATTATCATCTAGGGGAACGTCCCTTGCAGTAAGGCCATTACTTAAAGAGCAATCAGCCCCCAGAGTAATTTTTATCTATAGATTATCTGTCAAGAGAAAGAAACTGTTGTTTAACTCATTTAAAGCCTTGAGCTAAACAGACTTCAAATCTTATTTTTTCCAAGTAATTCTTTTTCCTTTTTTTCTGTATTTATAGGTCTTTTTCCAAATTAGATTTTACCTTGGGGCAGAGGCTGAAAAATGTCCTGAGCTTCATGTTTTATTAATATAACTTAGGGCATTGAGAAATGAGCCTTAAAACACATGGCAAACAAGCTTTCCTTTGGAAAAACAAATCTTTTCAATGAGTATGTAAGCTACAGAAGAATGTTTTTGAAGGGAGAAGCTCAGTACTCGTGTTTTAGGCTATGCACAATATTTACATGTGTGGCATGAGGCTGTAAAGATCTGTACAGAGTTCTATACAGAAAACTTCCATTGGCATCACATTTCCATCAGTGAAAAATTCCAAGAGCACACTCCTAATCAGGGTACTCAGTAGTTGCTGCATCTGGTAGGGCACTGGAATCTGATGAGTCTACTTAGTTAAAGGCTAAAGTAAATAAAATAAGACTCCTCCTCACTCCTGTATTACTGTACAGAGCTACTGCTCTATAGTAGTAGCCAGAGTAAAAAAAAAAAAAAAGGTAGCTCTTTTTAGTAAAAAATGTTAATTAAACATATGTTGAGATAAAAAGGTCCTACTTGATAGGTCATTTTTCTGAACTGGATCCACACTGTGATCTACGCTTCATCCTGAACAAGAAAAAAATGAAATAGCAGGAAATTAAGTATCTTTTCTTTCTGGCTGACTAGTCAGAAAATCTGTGCTACTGATAAAGCTGTTTTATCCAGCTGTCTCCAATTTACTATCTCAAGTTGCAAGCAATTAGTGGCATGTTTAAGTTTCCTCATACAAGCAGTACCATAAAAGTCAAATAAATATGATTTGGTAGCTCAAAGGTATAGACAAGTAATAGTAAGTATAGACCTTTGAGATTAGATTCTGGGATTTGGGGCCCCTGGTACAAAATGCTGTTGAAACATGTAGTCAAAAACAAGTTAAAAAGGTGGTCAAGATGAAGACATCACCTTCAGCAGTGACAAAATCAGCAGAGAAGAAAGTCAGATTATTGTATCACCTAACTTCTTACATGTTGGATGTCTGTGCTTAGAAATAAATTCTTGTATTTTCTAATGTGTCCATGCACAAATATGCATAAACCACACCGAAGCCTAGTTTATACAGAGCCAAGACAGCACTGAGCTGAGACCCTTCACATGATCCAAATGTGCAAGCTCCTAAACCAGACCTAGAATAATTGATTTAACAGAGCACTGTGCACTCATCCCTCAGCTCTTGAGCAGCACTGTATTAAAGTGGTCATGTTGCTTTTTGTTTGGGATCTATCATGCGTGGAGAGCCTGCTTTTGTGCTGCAGAAGTGCACAGTGCCTCAGCATGGCTTTGCCTTATACTAAATAGGGATACGTTAAGGATGTGAGGGCCAGCCATTTTGATAGGCATGACCCAAATTACTCCACCCCCCACATATGCTATTCCCTTACCTGATCTGCTGCTTGGCTTTCTGTTCCCTGCCTTATGCTTCCTGCTTAAGATGACGCTTTGCTTTTTGATCCCTGTGCTATCTGCCACTGTGGTGCATGTTGCCTTCTCAGTCTGCTGTATGCCACACTCATGCCACAGGTTGGACACCACTGCCTTAGAGACATAAGTTTCTACTTGTCAGTGTTTTACTTCTGCATTGAGCATGTTCACTTTTGGGCATGGCTGTTTTGAGATTTAGACTTAGGGCAGAGTTCAGCAGAGCACTGAAGCACATATTTTACCACATTAGTGGTCTTGTTAAGTTCAAAAGAAGAGATAAGCATGAGCATAAGTATCTCCAAGACTGAGCCAAATGATGCAGTTTTATTTTTAGAGTCTTCATTTTGCTTTTTTTTTTAACATTAGGGATTAAACAGTGGTGATCTGTTCTCAACTACTTGAACTTTAAAATCAGAACAAAAAGTTGCAAAGGAAAATTGATTCAACTATCCATCATTTTATTTTATTATATTTAAAAACATTTATTTTAACAAAAATACTGTAAAATTGTTGTGTGCGCTGAATAGGAAAACTGCTACCCAACCCTTTCCTGTATCCAACTGGGAAGCAAAATCATTATTTGAACTACTATACTAAACACTTCTAAGCAGTTGTGACAGCTATATTTATTTGACATGCTTATTAAAGCTTGCAAAACTTGTCTTCAGTTGCTTGTGAGCTGCTAATTATATCTTAGCTATACTTCTATTTTATCATTATTGGAAGCTATTGAACTTCTTAATTTTATTAGATGCAATTATACACCTTGAAGAAGTGACTTGTTCCACTGCCATGTGTCTGTAGACCAACAGGGACACACTTTCACTGAGGACACTTAACACAAATCCAAACAAATTGTCATTTCCAGTCCTGCTTTAAATGTATATATACTGCATATACTTGTATATGTATTCATACATATTGCACATTCATTGCATGTGTAAATTCCTATACAGCGCAGATAAGTAAGTCTCTGTGCATGCAGGTGAAAATTAGACGTGCCTGTACCTGACATGCACTAATGCTTGCATGCAAACAGATGTGCTTGTGATAGCAAAGCATATTTTGATAGTTATGCCTAGTGAGCCAGCTGTCTAGGTACATTTTCAGGGGGTCATTCAATGAGCCCTTCCAGCTGCAAGATTGTGTAGATCTGTGCACATTCCCAAAGCATGGAACTAAAACTTGAAAATGAGAATTGAATAGTTAAATCAAAGCAGATACTTTAAGTAATCAGCAAAACATAACCTCTTATTTCTACTTTACCATACCCTCATCATGAATTTTGTGTCAAGAAGGTGGTGCTGTAATTGTGATTAAAAGTTTAAAGGCACCTACACTTGCAAAATAAACTTCGCTGGTAAATGGAGATCTTCATGCTTTTAGTATGAGAATGCACATGGACTTGTTTGTGTGTGTGGGAGCTCTAGGAGACATCACATTGCTGCCAATCATCCAGGAATCAGAAGCAAATGAAATAATACAAAACTGAAAGTAAAGAAAAAGCACCCCAAAATGATTACTCGTTTAGAAATATGTAGATCTCATACTTGTCTTTCTCCTTTCTCTAGACAACACTGCAACAGTGCTAACCAGGAGAAATGGATTCCGGAGACAGGAACAGTCTGTTTTCTACTTGCCAATATTCATTGTGGACAGTGGCTCTCCTTCGCTTAGTAGCACTAATACCCTCACCATTAGAGTGTGTGACTGTGATGCAGATGGCATAGCTCAGACTTGCAATGCAGAGGCATACATCTTACCTGCAGGACTTAGCACTGGAGCACTTATAGCCATACTTGCCTGTGTTCTGACATTGCTCGGTATGTCCCACATTGTTTTTCTATTTTTCCTTTCAATGTACAATAGAAAAAAAAAATCCTTGCCTCAAGCTTTTATTCTTATCCCCAGATTTCCTGAGACAAGAAAAGCTAATATTCCAGCAAGAGAGGCATTTTCTATCATGAACCACACAAAGCCATTTGTTTTGGCTTTTCAAGCTTAGATAAATTATATCAAAGTTAAGCTGCCTCCAATGTTATATATAAAATAATGCTAGAAGGAATAAGATCACTTACATCTACTATAATAGTTCTAGATAGACAATTCAGGTGAAAAAAGCTGAGCTTATGGACGTTTCTCTCTTGTTTAATATAACACAGCTGGCCATTTTCAGATTACTTATTGCATATATAATAAGCACAAGAGATATAAGTCATCTATTGATATATTTATTACTATTTATTTGTTTGCAAATATTTATTGATTTGCAAAGAAAAAAAACACGTATAGAAAATGCTGCTGATGTAGTTTCCTGATGAAAACCAGCAGATTTAATTTAAGAATATTGTCTGCACAAGGTCCTTTTGTTACTACCGCACCTGTTATAACAGTAGGATTTTAAATCCTGTGGTAAAAACTGAAGCCAGACCAGAAGGAAAACTGATGTAAAAATAATAAACAATGTATCAGCAACAAAGCTGGCTCAGTATTTCTCACATTAGTTTGCATACTGAAGTGAAATTGATTAAATAATGATCCCAGGTTGTAGGGAAAGCAAGAGCACTAAGGATTTTTTTGTCTTCGTTCACTGTGTGTCAGAGTTCACACTTCTTCTTGGCCACAGTTCAGCATAAGAGCATGCAGTTAAGAACCTTGTTGGACTGAGGCCTATCAGTGTCATCCCCGAAAGAATGGGAAGATTGAAAAGTTCATAGTTAGATATAGCTGCTCAGGTAGCTATATACAGAGAAATCTCAGATGGTTTCAACCAATAGTGTCGGACTGAATGTACCTGCACTGCAAGTGAAGGATAAATTAGATCCCTTCTCATGACTGGTAAGTGCCTAAGTGCAGTCCTTTACCCGGGAAAACTCTCCTTCCTTACATCAACCTGTATGGTACACAGGGGCAAGCTCTACTTTCCTAGAACATACATATGGCATCTCTGAGGCATAACACATCCTGTTTCTCTGCTCTGACATCTATACTGATTCAAAGTTGAAAGGCAGAAGCTTCTTAAGTCACTGTTTAAGATAAGAATTATTACAACTGTAGAGACATGGTTGATTTCTATATGAGAATCATATGCAGGTTGTATTTTCTCTCTTCTGGTGTTTTAAGATTGTGAGAGAAAGGCACAAAATGATTTCAAATTTGTTCTTAACACATTTTGCAGTGAAGACATTTCTTTAAGACTTACATACACAGCATAATAGGATGTAGATAGAATAGAGCTGTTTGAAAAAAAATCATCACTGCCCTAATCATCATCCAGCTGAAAGAAAATTCATGAACACAATCTCTGTGTTAGTTCTGCTTCAGTATTGCAACTCCCAGTGCCTGTTATTGGGATTACTGGCTAAATGACTCATACAGGAAGGCATAAGAAATCAAATTCTTATCTAATATAAATCATAATTAATTAACTGTGTTAATGTCACTACATTAGTTTGTAGCTTTAGATCAGGCTCAAGGTCCATAACTGAAATATAAATTATCCACTACCGGAAATCCATTTCACTCAAAACAAAATTCTACCACATCTGTCATATTAAGTAATGATCCCAGGTTGTAAAGAAAGCAAGAGCACTAAGGATTTTTTTGTCTTCGTTAAAGGACCAGTTACAGACATTACAAGTTTACCTATCTAAGTGATTGGAGACTGGTTTAATCCCATAATAGAACAGAAGTTTGGTGCACATAGACTGATCTAAAAATAGTGGGACCTGGTCTAAGCTAGACCTGGATCAACGTGCACTGAAACTTAATTGATTTAGGTTAGACTGGTACATCAAACTTCAGTACCAGTTCTCCTATCAGCTCACGTTAGGTCACTGTCTGCTGGCATCCCAGGCTCCTTTGCAGCTCCCTGATAACCCTCCCTCGCAGAGAAGTGTGCTAGCACTTGCCCTATGCTTGGCTGCTCCAGCTGAATGCCCAGTGGGCTTCACCCCTGAGTTATCATAAAGCTGAGTCAGCACAGCCCCTTTCTAGCACAGACCTTTTTTCACAGCCAGCCCCACTTCCTGCCTCTGGGCAGCTGTCAGCCCCAGGCAGGCAGTGAGAGTGGGGAAGGGAAGCACCTGTTTTTCCATTCATGAGCCCTGGTACCTGAGCACCCATGTCCCCAACCCGTCATGAACACCCCGTGATGTACACACAGATCTTACATGGAGCCCAAGACAACTTCCATGCTTAGATGCAGCCCCATGGAGCTGGATCGGGTTCCTGGGCATGGATGAGCATGCCTCCTGCCACTGCTGTATCATCTGCCAGTCACAGGCATCTATAGGCAGGCAGTGGGATGAGGTGTGGTCACTCAGACCTTGACAGCCAAGTCAGGTTCCATGGGGCTGCACCCAAGCACAGGGGTTCTTCTAGGCTCTGTGTCAGCTCTGTGTGTACAGCATGGACTGCTTTAGAGTGTGGGGGCATGGCCCAGGGACACAGGTGTCCAGTTGCTGAGGCTCATGCATGGGAAAGCAGATGCCTCCTTTTCCCACTTTCGCTGCCTGCCTGTGGCAGACAGATGCCTATGGCTGATAGAAGTTGTAACAGGGGGTTGGGGGCATGATCGCCGTACCTGGCAGCCAGTCAGGGGTGGCCTGGGTACTCAGCTGCACTAGGCAGTCTCCAGCAGCCCAGGGAGCCCACAGGGCCTGCTGGGTGGTATACAGAAATGCCCCCCACCTGCTGGTCTCAGCCAGTGCAGGCAGCCTTCCGCGCTCCCATCAAAGGGAAAACATGATTTGTTCAGTAGCAACCTAACCTATGCCGCTTACAGAAAAGCATGCAACTTAGATCAATTCCACCTTGGACTTTTTAAATGTCAGTACCTATCCAAGGAGAAAGTAGTGTGTTATAGTTTAAAAACTGAGTCCATATTCTTGTGCACTTTTCCTAACAAAGGAAACTGTATTTCTCAGAACAACCTCATCTATTTAGTATAGTTGATATGGAATGCAGCAGATAACTCAAGTAAACAGAGTGTTTCTTCTAATCACTTCTAGACCATGCACAGTTATTTTGTTTTAGAGTTCATTGGCAGAGAGCAGAGGAATAGATCACAGAACGTAACATCTAAATAATTTATTGTGCAGAACATGATGGACTTGACTTCTGGTTACTCAACTGTTGATCTAAGCTATCAAAAGATTTGACAGTCACTATACATTATGAGTTTTTAAATTCACCTGTCCGAATGTCTCTTGCTTGTCTAATTGGACATTTGTATGTGTTGTTGCTGCTTTCTGCCTGAAAAGCCCTTATGCTTAAATACAAATGTGTAATATAAATCTGCCAGTTCAGTTTAGACAGGCACCTGAAAATGTAGTCCTGTGTCTTGAAAGCCAGTTATATGCTTAAAGTAGAAAGCTTTCCCTATGTAGTTTAAATAGGTATTTTGATACTCTCCCTTCCAAGTTTTAACCAGGTCTTTCATTTTAAGTTCAATTCAATGCGACTAAAGATGGGGCATACTTGTCTATTCTCACAAGTATCTCATATCCACGTGAATATTTTGACTAGAAATACTGATCTGAGTAAAGGACTGGGTCTCTGTAGTATTATATTATAAATGTCCATATGATCACATTTAACAAGACCCCTGTATTTTAAATATTCTTAAGTAAAATAGAAATAAATTTAACTGAAGTTTTAGCAAAGATTTCCCCCCTAGTTTGACTCATGGTGATTAACATCTAAATTCTATTCCACAAGAAATTCCTAGTGCTATATAGATTATTTAGAAAAGACTCACAGTTATGGACTCTGCAGTGGGGCTCTTTTTTTTTAAATAAACTAAAATACACTTGTAATTTATTCCATAAAAAGCACATGAAAAGCACCACACTGGGTGTCATGTACTTTATACTGTACATAACTTTTTAAAACAAAATAAGTAAGGAATTCTTTATTTCATCTGAAATTGTCAGATAATTTCATTCAATGTAATTTATTTTTCAGTTAACATGTCATAGACATGATGATTGTTTTTATAATAAATATTTAGCATAATAGTAACTATATTTACATTACACATATTACATGAAAGCAGGCAAAAAAAGTATGTATATCTTTGGATGCCTATAGTTTATTTCCTAAGCTCAGAGGCTTTTGTTGTATTGAAATAAGGTTGAGCTTGAATGACTAGATGACCTCTGGAGGTCCCTTCCAGCCCTACTTTTCTCTGACATGTCCTTCCTGACTTTTAACTTCTATTCTTTTGATTATTAATCACAATCAGTCTGTTATAAGTATTACATTGTAGTAATGTATAGTGTACTAACACATTGATTAACCCCCCCCCCAGCCGTTTTTAACAGACCTTTTATTTTCCTATTGAAGAGCAAAAGGTTTTATTATTGTTACTACTGGACGGCTCTAATGAGATTGTGCCCTCATTGTACAACTATTTTACAAACAGTAAGTGAAGTCCCTGCCCTAACCTGTTTGCCTTACAAATACATGAATACCAGGTTTGAAACCAAGGAATGGAGATATTATGGCCCACATGCTAAGAGTGATGAGTATGGGTAGCTCAGTTTTTAGAGACCCAAATTAAGATATTTCAAGTGTGATTATTTTCAGATGGTACTGATGCTAACATGTCCTTTGAAAGCCAGGTCCTGTTAGGATCATTCAAGCTGAGCATTCAAAGTCTGGAGTCATTTTGGACAATTAAAGAAAAAAAAAATCTCATTTTTACATGAAGAGCTGGGAACAGCACCCAGATTTCATAGTCTCAGTCTGCCTTAATCATAAAATATCATTTGATTGCAATAGCTATGATAGACTCTGAATAAATGGGCTACTGGTGTACATCTTGGATGGTTGAAGCCTTTAGATTTGTGACTTTTAAGGCACCTGAGGCATAGACCAATCACCTATTAATTTGCAACCTGTTCTTACTTATATTAGATAGCATGTTTAGGAGAGTAATGTATAGCAGTGATAATTTGTGGGTTTTAGCTGCATGAGTTTTTTTATATGCTATTTGTAGCACCCCCCTCAAGGTTTTTAAGGGTTATTATGACATCTTTACAATGATGCAGAACTTAAAAGTTAGTTTGTCTTAGAACAACATGGACTTTTAAGCATAACAGTCAGAGATGCAAATGATTTAATCTGTGCTTGTACTGGATGATATTCTATGAAGGTAAAAGAAAACTTCCCAACTAAAGCACATTATAAAATGGATTACGATGTCATAAAAAAAACATTAAAAAGACTGTAGTTGAAGCTGGTCTACTCTACACACAATTTTGCTACTTTAACTATGTCAGTTTAGCAACTGATAGAGATAAATTTCCAAACTCCTATTATGGTTGCAGGCTTTTAAATGTACCTAAACAAATAGGCTGCTGTTAAACACTTTTATATCTGTATATAACTAATGCTTCTTTTGGGGCATTATACTGATTTAACTAAATCAATTTTTTTAGTAATTTCTACTGATTTTTGTAAATCAGCACAATATACACATCTGTTGTTCTGGTTATTCATTGTAAGGTTTTTTTTTAATAATTAATTTTGACTATTAAATACAATTAACATGATCTTGCCATTTATGTTCTTGTCCGTATGGTAGATAGTATAAATAGTATAGCAAACGGGTCTAATGTACCTTTTATTTCCACTACAAAATCCATAAAATTATTTTCTTTACACATTCAGCCAAGCAACTAATAATTGCTTTGATACCTCCTTCTGTTATTAGCATGGTAAAGGAAAAAAAGGCATAATGGGGAAAAGACTACATTTAAAGCCAGTAGTTCTGGGATTAGAAATTTAGTTTGGGCTTGTAATCATCTCCAAAGTTCCTTCATTGCAGCTAAAACATTGTTCATTTAGAAGTTAAAAATTATTGTTCAGAGCTGTTGGAGTAGTTAGAAATTAATAATCTCATAAAGCCATCTAAATGCTAAAGTGTTTAACCTTTAGAAAGACTTCATATTTTTCTTGGCTTGAAGCAAGAGTGGGATATACAAGGCATACCACATAAAACATTTATTGTATCTTGATTTTTATTGTATGTCCAGGCAGACCTATCTACTAATGTTTCATATTTTTCACTTATTAGCAGGTATTTAACTCTCAAAACGAAGTCTGCTAAGCATGACAGCAGTGTGAAAACACATTTACACTTGAGTAAAGGAAATGATTAGCTGTTTGGTACATGGCAATAAAAAATATGACAGTGACGTTAAAAAATGCTAAAAAGAAGATGAACAAACTACATGTTTCTGTCAACAGTGATCTTAAATTGAATCATGTATTTATCACTGACAGCAACATAATTTGTCTTACATTTAAAATATAATTTTTAATAAGGAAATCTATTAAGAATGAAATGCAGCTGTTGTCTCTAGGATTTTAATTGTTCTTGGTTACTGTTCTGAAATTTTTAACACAACCTATCTTATTTGAATATAAAGGCCTGATATTAAATCAAAAGCCTTTTTAAAGGTTAACATCTTTATTTTTGAGGTGGTTAAGTATCCCAAACTAATACTTCCACACTGCAACATATAAGTCAACTACTTCACCAGCGAGCAGAGAGGGGTGGGGTGTGGAGCAGGGAGAAGCCAGGCAGACTGTGCCTGCAGTCTCTGCCAGAGCTCCAGCCAGGAAGCAGAAGGGAGGGGCCGTCCCTGCTGTGGAGCAGAGAACCCCACCCAGCCCAGAGAGCATGCTGGGGGAGTCTAGTTTATCTTAAACCAGCAAGGGGTCTGGGACTGACATTGAATAAACTGGTTTAACCCAAATCAGTTAAATTTGATACTACATTCAACCAGGTTTATGTCAAACCAGTTTCAGTCATTTTCAAACTGAACATGGCACTGAACATCTGTTCTGTTACAGGTTTAGACTAGTTTTTGATCAATTAAAATGGTTTATGTATAATGTCTGTCCCTAGCCTTAAACTATGGTCAGTGATGACTTTATAGACTGATGTCTTCATAGAAAATACCTCCCTGAAAAGACTCACATATGAAAATAAGCCAACATTATTCAGAGCACTAATATCACTCATTAGGAATGAACCTGCCTTGAAAAGAGGGCTGGACTAGATGACCTTGCGAGGTCCCTTCCAACCTTTTTTTCCTACCATCCTAGGAGAATGCTGTGTTTATCCTCCCATGATGGTAGAAGGGGAGGTGTATTTGGGTACTTGAGTGTCCTGGGCAGCAGCCACACAAGGGGCAGCATCAGTCTCTGTGCTGTTGGTGACCTGGCCAGCAGCACTACTGGTATTTTGTTCCCCCCCAGTACAACCAAGACTTAGCACCTGGGCTGGTGCCCTGTACACCCCTTCTTTACAGTGAGTAAATGTGGTGAGTGCTATGGGAAAATAATGTAACCCAGAAAACATGCTGTCATACAATCAAGAAGCTAAAATTAAGAGACTAAAATTAAAGTGCAGTGCAAATAGTTAAATGTGCAAGAGCAGGTTTACCTTTGAATATACTGTGATATTTACAACCTGGCATGCATTCTTTGCTGAGAGCATATGTACTTCCCATTAATCCAGTGAAAGTTGTTCAGACACTTCAATGTTGAATTAAATAATCATTTTGAGGCTGGGGGAAAGGGATGCCTCATACTGTTGTGGCCGCGATATAGATGATTAAAATTCATGAAAGCACCTCCATAATTTGTTTATGAATAATACTTTTTTTCTACCAATATGCTAACTGAACCTTGAGTGAATTTCCTCCTTGTTCTTTGGTTAAGTTTCTACAAATTAATATTTGCTTTAAGGCTGAAGGGAGAAACCTTAAATGTCAGAATTTTTTTAATCATTACCTTCCTTAGCACTGGTTTAACCAATAAACTCCAGCCTTCACTATTCTCATCACACATAATTTACAGACACCAAGTACCATACTTTGCACATTAAAGCAAAGTGCAGCCTAAAATAGAGATGCTTTTAAACCATGAACTAAGACAATCTTATGTTAGACACTACTTAACAACTCAGAGTTCCCCAATCAAGGAACAGGTATTTCATCAGAAAACCTATGGCCGTATGTTTTAATTCAGTCACTTTCCAAGCTAGGGCTGTTAAACACTATGCAGTCGCTTTTTGAATGTGCTTTTACTGCTTGAGCAATTAAGGGTTCAGGAAAAGGTCCTTTTTTATTTCATGACTGTGGGATTTTAATATTCAGCCAGAAATGGCCCTTAAATTTATGTTTAGCCAATAGTGTAGGATATAGAATTAAAGATGAAGACATTAATTCAGAATGGCTTTGGAAATAGATTCTTTAATGTCTGGAAGCCCTTGGTTTAGAAGGCATTTTAGGGCCTGATAGTGATTTGAAATCTAACTGAATGAATTGCCTGTTGTTTGCTAGGTAAGGAAAGGATGCTTATGATTTAAATGCCACCACTGGGAAGGATCTGAGTGGAGGATAAGTTCAAACATCAGCATTGCTAACATTTTCTTCTTTTGTGTTCTAGTGCTTGTCTTGCTGATTGTTACCATGCGACGACGGAAAAAAGAGCCACTCATTTTTGATGAGGAGAGAGATATCAGAGAAAACATAGTCAGGTATGATGATGAAGGTGGTGGAGAAGAAGACACAGAGGCATTTGACATGGCTGCCCTGAGAAATCTTAACATCATCCGAGACACCAAGACCAGAAGGGATGTAACTCCTGAGATTCAGTTCTTGAGCAGACCAACTTTTAAAAGTATCCCAGATAATGTCATTTTTAGAGAATTTATTTGGGAAAGACTAAAAGAGGCTGATGTGGATCCCTGTGCTCCACCATATGATTCCTTGCAGACATATGCATTTGAGGGAAACGGCTCAGTGGCCGAGTCCCTCAGCTCTTTAGATTCCATCAGTTCAAACTCTGATCAGAATTACGATTACCTCAGTGACTGGGGGCCTCGTTTTAAACGGCTTGCAGATATGTATGGGACTGGACCAGAGAGCTTGTACTCATAGCCCTGGAGACTTTCTATGAAAAATGCACTGAAGAAAACAAAAACAACAAACAAAACCCAAGAACTGAAACATCTGAACTAAGGAAAGTTGTAAATATTTCTCCATTTTTAACCTTTTAGGTTTTTCTGCCTTGGTGAAGCATATCTTCATTAGACTTGTCCTAGGGACTGCACTGACCACACAGATTCTGAATATTTGGTGGCATTTTTGATAAAATGAGATGCTCAGCCATGTTTGAACAGATAGCAACATACATATACCCACAGAGGCAACTAACTTCTAAGAATAAGTGGTGCACTGTGACCTCAATGAGCCAATGATACCCTGTAGATGCCTTCACAGTACTGTTATGTTGAGAATGCAGTCTCTAATAAGAGATAAGGGAAAGAGGAAGCAAATAAATGCAATATGCCGTTCCTAACAGTGTTATAGTACACTGTATTTTACTAATACACAAGTGTTTGGCAAATTTTATTTACAGTGTTGCATGCAGCTTGCTGGATCAAATTGAAAAAAAACCCAAAACAAAACAAACAAACAAAAACCCCATAACCAGCAAAATTAGTTAATTGGTACTGGTTAATGGAGCTATTTAACTAGAACTCTCTGTGAATATTTGGCAATCCATTCAAAATGAAAAAAAAGATAAATTCATGCTAAAAAACCTGTCACATTTATCATCACCATGTCAACATAAATTATAAACTACATAAAACAAGAAAGATGGATATGGAAGAGATTCTTAAAGCTGAAAATAGCTTTGTGCTGCCTGTGTAGGTACAGAAAAAAGTTGCTGTCTATTTGTTGCTTTTTATTATCTCTTCTGATTTGTACAGGAGAATTTATCTTTTCCCCCCCCTTTATTTGACATATAGTGTTATATTTATTTTGGAGCTCCTGCCTCCACTAAATTCAGGTCCATTTTACTGCCTCATGGCATTAGGCTCGTGAGAACATGCTGATTTTTCTCCAGTCTCAGATACATGAAGGAAATGAAGCATGGAAATGGAGAAATTACAGTAAAGCAATCGAGCCCACCGTTCATCTCGCAGAAAGGAGCACAGCTACAAGGACACCGTCATTCTTCTGAGCCATTACAAAGTCTGAGACATATGAATAAAGTATTTGTACATCACATTTTTGAAAGAACACTACAGAGGGGTTGGGAGTGTCTTTATGCAAGATTTAATTTTCAAGGTGACATGTCCTATATGCTCCGGAGACTTTAAAGACCCTGCTTTTCCCCCTTCTCTTTTGCTGCTGATGAATCACAGTAAAAGGCTATTTTAAATTTCTTTCATATGCTAAGTAATGTAATATTATTAACTCCAGAATCCATCTTTAGATCCTGATGCACACAAGTATTTTCTCCAAAGGAGTTCACTTCACAATACAAAATTTCTACACTGGTTCAGGCGTGCCAAAATAGGACAATTGCTGTCAGTTAAAATACTGTATGATTTTGAAGTAGGATTTCTTAGAATAAGACAACTTTTTATGATTCTGACAATATTTATATGTCATCTTTCATGATTTATTATTAGATAATAAGGCAAGTAAAAACTGTTTTCTTTTAGTATTCTTTCAGATTTTTTTTTTAAGAGAATTTGTAGGTGACTTCCTAGATAAGAATCTGATCCTGCAAACTTTTCAGTGTGGTTTAATTTTCTGTGACTTGATGTTAGTAGGGCAATTCACAGGAATGCACAATTGTTTGCAGGACTGGGCATGTGTCTGCAGATCGTAGGCACTCCGTAGGGGATGCTGCTTACTCTGAAAGTGCTTCTTTCTGAAAAGGGGATCCTTGTATAATTTCTAACATATGGATTATACAAGGATGGGGGTAAATATCCTTTAAGGCTTTGTAAGTCTTGCAACCCAGCATTATCAATTACCTATGTGAAAGTGGCCTTCAGTTTCATCCAAAAAATGTAATAATTTGCAACACAGTTCTTTAATTTGGGTTATATTTTGGTAGACAGTCATTATTTCATGATTTAGTAGATTTTCTTCTAATTGTATTAAATATATAAATATATATATATAAATATATATATATATATATATGACCAATTTTGTAATGGAACTGAAAGATATTGCCCATGACTTTTAGTCATATATGTAAGATTTTCAATAAAAAAGTGGGAAAAAAGGATCAAGTGTATGTAGTTCAATAAAAGCCAGAAGTGCAGCAGCAGTTAAGTAGGTACTAAGTCAGCAAAGTGCTGAAAGAACAGTTTTATAATAATCTTGTGTTGTTTGCAGGAAGATAACATAATTCATGCATTTGGATTATGATGGCAAAAGTGCTGATTTTAGCACATATCACTCAAAGGTGATTTCAATTTAAGTAAACATCACAACTGCCTTGCTTTTCCCATTTTATATTTTAAAACAATTATACCCTTCTCTTATGAAATATATGTTGGCTTTGCTCTTGTTTGCTGTACGATAGATATTTATTCCATTTTTTTGCATGTATCCATTTTCTACTACACATTTGAAGGTGATTCAGAAACTCGACTATTATTGGCTTTTTGGCTGGGTATAAAATTGGTAAAAAGGAGGGAAGGAGGGAGGGAAATCCCTCATTTTTTATGAGAGATGTTTGTTATACATGATAAATATAATGCAAAATTTAAAAAAAAGACTTCTCAAGGCTACATTATGATTTGTTGATTCACAATTTACCTATTAGATTAAAATAGTTTATTTTAGAGTTATTTTATTCTGGTATTCTAGCTTTATTCAAGATTAGGCTTCTGACTAAATAGTGTAAAACATCATTGCTTTTTTTCAATGCCAGAAAGACAAGGAACAATATGCAATGAATTATTTTTAAATGATTTTACCTCACAAGTTTTGCCCCTGCTTCTGACATACTTGACTCTTTTTTTATGAATTCAAGTAACCATTGGGCAAAACAACATTAAAACTGCCTATTATCTTTTGAAAAAGGGCACTTTGGGTATGTCTACACATACCGATTTAAGGGGTTTTAGCCATTTTTAAGGCACATTAAGGGTATGGGTCTACAAGTGCATGCTCTTAATGCACTTTAAAATGGTGATTTTAGGCTATTTGCACCTAAATTTTATACCTGCTAAAGCAAGTATCAAATTTTGGCATGAATAGCTAAAGCACATTAATGCTGTGTATGTCGACTGACTTGAGACTAACCTTAGTCCCAAGTTGGCCTGCACAGCGTGTTAATGCGCCTTAGCATGTACATGTGTAGACTTGCACCTAAATCGCCTTAATGTCTATTAGGCAAATGTGTATTAAGTTTAGGCGCATGTCAAAGCATGTGTAGACATGGCCTTTGTACCCTAAAGCTTGTCTAACATTTCCTCAACTATACAGTTGGTCCTTTACAACCATGCCAAAAATAAATAACTAAACAAAAAAAACATACCTTTGGTTCTTGTATATCTCCTGAACCTTCATGGTTACAAGACTCTAATCCTGTGACAGCTGTATGAAATTTTAACACTTGCTTTCTTTTCTTATCAAATAATAGCATCTTTCCCAACTGAGATTTTATGATGTCTTTACAATGTTGCTAAAGCAACACACTGAGAATGCAACAACACACCTAACAAACTCTGGATAAAACTAACACACGAAGATTACATGCCAGACTTTTCACTCTGCTATGGTTGTGTGTATCAGCTGAAATAAATGGAGTTAAACTATTATAAAACAGCTGTAAATGCCCCTGGTACATATTACACTACATGGTGTGATTCACTTGTAGCAATACTAAATGTTCAGCCAATTTACAGTGCCATAAATTGGCAGACCAACCACAGAGATTTCCACAACATATGTGACACATCTTTGTGTCTCACTTGTACACTGTTATACATTGAATGTCTAGCACCTCTGTCAGCATCAGCATGGGGACAGAAATTGACAGCAGAACCTGTAAAACCTTGGTCTCAAGCTGAAAATAGATTGTAGGGGAGTGGGTTTCAGTATTCTCCAGCGGGAGTGGGGGACAAAGCAAGGGGCCCCCCAGCGGGTAACATAGCAACCTCTGAGTCCAGCAGCCTTTCGTGTATTTTGCTGAAGTCCCAATTGAGCTGAAGGCCAAGACACTTTAAAATGCAGGGTTGGCAGCGATGGGCTGACCATGCAATTTTTAAACATCCTGTGGCATGAGGACTACAGGACAGGGGAAAGGCTCCCTGATCCTTAGATTTTGGAAGTTCTTAGGACATGCAGTTGGGCTGTCCCAAAAACTCAAACCCGAACCAGGGTTGTCTGAGAAATGTCTGGCAATCAGCTTATTGCTTTGCTTATTCTTAGACCTGCCTGGGGATCCACTTGAACAGGACCTAGGGTTAGCCAGAAGGGGTCCAACACACAACTGATTGTCATCTTCAGGCAGCCTCCGGTCCAGAATCTGCTGGGGTTAGCCCTGGTTCTCAGGCAGAGCCACTCCCTGCTTGACCTGCAGGGTTGGGCTGGAGGCAGCTTTGCAGTGACATGATTTGGATTAGATGAATGTTACGCCCCATCCCAAACATTGCACCTCCTGCCATGCACATCTAGCATGACAGGAAGTGTGTTATTTGGGAGAGGATGTAAAATTCCTCTGATGCAAATTGTGCCATTGTTTTAATAACTTCCTGGGCAATCTAACCCTATATATATATAATAAAAAAAGTAAAGTTAGTATTTTGACACAATTAATAGATTCAAAGTTATACTCAATTCATCTTAAAATGATCCTGTTGGAAGGACCACTGTAGTCATGGCATAAGGTGAGAAAAAAGAGATAATTAAGGAAGAAAAAAAATATTTCTTCTGCTGCACCTGTTCTTTTTCACTGAATCTTTTTAGGGGAGATTTTCCTTTGTGTCTACATTTCTCTTCTGAATGACTTGCACATTGATTTTCTATCCCTCTACTCTTATCAGTATCCAGATATATCTTATCCTTTTTCCTTAAGAGTTTTTGAAAATTTGCTGTAAAATAAAAAATAGCAACAGCCGATTTTTCCAAGGTATTACCATAGGAGGACACAAAGTGAAGTAATACATTGTGATATGGCAGTCATGAAAAACAACTACCCAACAAACCACACTTTTTTTTAGACTTGTAAGAACATTAACAAGCTAATATATCAAATGAAAGACTGTTTACGCTAAATCTACCATTTAATTCAGCATTAGCTCCAATTGCTAAACACCTGGCTGGCTTTTGGGGTAGGGGTTTTTTTTTTTTTTGGTTGTGGGTTTGGAATTTTTTGGTTGTTGTTTTTATTGAATGCAACTTTCAGTATAAAAAGCTGCAAAATAATACAGGTCTGAGGCATGCTAAACAGCATCGTATTCACATACTCACTGGGCACATCATTAATTACAGTGCATTAAGTTTAGTAGCTGTAATAACAGGTACTAAATGTGTGGTAATTGGCGCTACTGTGCAGTAGCATCAGCACACGTCTTTTAAGTGATGCTAATGCGCAGTAGACTAATTCTACTGAGCATTAGCACATTAGCATGGTTTTTGATGTGATGCACTAACGTGCAGTAGAATTAGTTTACTGTGCTTTTAGCCTATCATTTAGACATGCCTACAGATACTGAAAATAGGGAAAAAAACAGATAAAGCACTTTCAGCAGTTGGTTTTTAAGTACTTTATAAAGAAAGCAAATGTCATTACGCCCAGTTACTTGCTAAGTCCCAATCCTGAACCCTGACCATGGCACCACAAAACTTCTTGATATTCGATATATCATATCACATTGAGATTGGCCGCTCTGTCCTCCTGGCATCTAATACAAGTGCAAAAGTGTTCACTATAAAGCTCTAAAGAATGGCTAACTTCTGAGCTACAAGTGACAGTGCACAACATAGAAATATGCTGTACCCAAAACAGCCCATAATGCCTGAATTAATTGTCTGAGACAAGTCTGCTAATACAGTTCATGTAGTAAAACAAGATGTCTACATATGAATGTCATAGTTTATATTATGCTTTGGCGTATTACAGAATCATTTCCTACAAGGTGAAAATACCTTGAAGGTGGTATATAAAGTCTGTGAACCTTTAGACCATATTATTACTGCCAAACTACTAGGACAAATTGTTACATAAAAAAATGTTTGCCTAATTTTTTGCTTGTACAGAAGGTCATTGAAATGTTACATTTTTCCAGCAGCAGAAAGCTGCACATGGGTACCATGGAAATTACAAGAAAGAACAGAACAAACTAACTCAGTCAGGTGAAATTTTCTTGTCACTTTGATTAACATATTGTATTTGACCCAAGAGGTCTAATAACCAGTAGTGATGATACAAGGTAAATTCATAAACAGAAAAGAACACTAAAAGAATGGTATGATAGTCATCATGATTGTCAATGTCATCTTTCAAATAGTGGAACATGCTCTGACATGAAAAAAAAATATTGATAACATTTTTCAATCTAACGGAAAAGAAGACGTTATGCATCATTGTGACTGTTACCTTTCTTTTCCTCAGATCCATCAGGGACAACAATTTTCCTGAAATTTAATGTACATTTAACCATTCCATCTTTTCACATACCTTTTATATAAAACAACTCATTTAAGGTATAAGCTATAAACTTTCTAATCTTACCCCAAATCCTTAGGCTATCTCTATGCCTAAGGGTGTGACAGCAAAGAAAAATTATAGTGTATATAAGGTAGCTAATTATTTTCAGGCCCACCCAAAATGCTAAGACTGACTCTGAGAGCAAAGTCTAGCATATCTATTATATTTCCCCCACCACCACCACCAAATTATGAGTATTGAAAATCTCCCAAGAACTGTTTCCATAAAATTTATGGTCCATTTGCTGTTACTGCTATTATATACTGCAATCTGAAATTAAGAGCATATCTCTGCTGAAATCAGAATAGTACCCACTTCTGGGCTGGGGAATTAGGCTGCACTAAACTTCATGAAATTACAGATAAACTAATGGTAGCTCAGATAACTTATCCCTACACAAGGCATTGAAATGTAGATACAAAAGACGACCCTGATCAGTTCACTTCACCCACCAACAAAATGAAGTCCCTCTGATACAGAATTCTGATTCCCTCACCATCCTCTCAAATATAGTTACAAGGAAATCTCCAGAAAAAAAAAAGCAACCAACCTGCCTGGGATTTGGTTCAAACCCCATCACTTTTCCACAGCACCATAGTAACCACTTAAACAGTCTTGCACAGTTGTAACCTTAAGCATCAGGGAAAGAGAAGAACTAATCCTAACCCTAGCTGTCTTCTACTGGAGAAAGCAAAAGTCTTCCCTTGGTCTAACCATCATAGTATCAGAGTGCCTCATATTCATTAGTAGACTTATCTTTAAAATATCCTATGAGGGAGATAATTATCAACCCCATTTTGCATAAGGGGAAGAGAAGCATAAAGTAGTTAAGTGACAGCCAATGTGTGACGTTGTCTGAGGCCTTGCCACATGTTCAAATTAAAGCTGGATAGAAACCAGCTATAAAGTGGTTACATATTTTCAAGCACTAACTTTGTAGCTGGCTGGCTTTTTTAATAGCTGGATGAACATTTTTTGGCATGTTAATTACTTTGCACATGAGGCCCGTCTAAATTTATTGAACAATTAACCAGTTAATTGCATAAT